TCTCTCTCTCTCTCTCTCTCTCTCTCTCTCTCTCTCTCTCTCTCTCTCTCTCTCTCTCTCTCTCTCTCTCTCCTCTCTCTCCCCCACTCTGTCTCTCCTTTCGCCTTGCCCCTTCTCTCCCTCCCCGTCACTTGGCATATGACTAACCTCTTCTCCCCTCACTTGGAAACATTGCCAGGGTATGGACGGTAAACGAAATCAGACTTCACTTGGTGGAGAAAAAGGGCAAGGGGATAATAGCCGGTCCCTTGTGCCACCAAGGAGGCAAAAGAGAAAGGACATTTGAAAAAGTGGGAGAAAGGCGGGATCCGGAAGGAAGCATAAGTTGAGAGAGAGGTCAATTTGACTCAACCATTTCCCCGACTGCATGACTATGAGAAGAGGATGGGCTGACTGAGCAACAAGAAGGGAACAAAGCACAACCAAAGAGCATGGAAAGAATAGACATGCGGGAAGGGCTTTGTGTTGACCCCCAACGGGGGGCGGGGGGGGACATTGTATGGATCTCCTTGCTTGTGTGGGATTGTGCAGGTGAGTAATAGCTAGAAATGCCTTGAGCGGGATAAGGGCGAGAGGAACTGGGCATCAAGAGGGAAAGGGAAGAGGGACAAAGGGGTTATGGGACCCTTGACATAGAGCCAATTCATGAAAATGACTTTTGCACTTGAGACTTGGAAGTGTGATTGAGAGTGCAATCGTACCAAGGAAAATGTGATGTTGTGTGTGCATGCATATGAGGACCCCGAGACGAAGGGGCCTACTTCAATAAGGTGGGAAGCAAATTGTGAGATCCGATGGATGCATAGAGGCAAGGGGGAGGACGGCCTCGCCGCACCCCGATGACGCCATATAGCCAAAATGCTTAGGGAAATGGTGCGTGGCCTAAGGATGACGCTTAGCCTACGCACAAGAGAAGAGAAAGGTTCAAAGACCCCCTAGACTGCCTGCGTATTGGAAGGAACAGTTGCTTGAGAACACGATAAAGAAAAAAAAAAAAAATCAGCGTTGCGGAACGACCAGCGAGACTACCACCCGGCGTGAGGGTTGAGCTACATCCCCAATGTCAAAGCTCTCTCGCGCGATGGCCTACCCCCATCCATCTCAAAGTACTAGGTGGGGGTGACCTTGGGACGAATGGTCCGCACCCTGAGCATGAGTGTGGGCGGGTCGAGCCAATTGGGATCGGCAGTGGGGTCGACTAGGGCTCGAAAGTCTACCGGAGTTTAGCCCTACAAAAATGGTGGAGGTGCCAGGTATGGGGTTAAATTGACCCTTGCGATTCCAATGGGGGTGCTCGACACATTGACGTGTACACAACCCAAGATAAGAAAAATGGACTTGTGTTTGCCCTTTCCCTTGTGAGAAATCAGATTTGAGGGTGGCTGGGCGCATGGCATGGCCAGGCCTGGAGGTATAACATGCATGCTATGCACTTGATCAGCCATTCCTTTGAGGAATGGCTCTAACCCTCCTTCGTCCGGTGCTGGTGTTCGCCAGTCCGGGGAAGCATTGGGCAAGTCGCAGGTCGACCCTTCCTCTTCGTATGAAAGAAGGGTTCCGGTTATCTGGCAGGCGGTTGGTGCTTGGCTTAGGCCAGGTTCCAATGAAAATCCCATGGCGGAGTGATCCGACTGAATGGGTGCTTTCCCCTTCTTCTTTTGAGCCCAGCGGGCTCATGCACTTTGCACCTTTTTAATGATTGAAGGAACCAATATGAACACAACGGGTCATCAAGAAAGAACAATCCTACCCTATGAAAGGACAGACAAGTGAAAAGAAGGGAATGAAGGGAGTTGCTAGACTCCAAGGAAAACTAGCTCACCCTTGAAGATTCTCACGAGAATGCACCAACCACTATGCATGAAAGTAGGGGGAGTGACACTCATTGTCCTGAGAGAAAATCTGTGAGTTATGGGTCGGAAGCGCTGGGTGCACCAAGGGAAAGGCGCTTGTACTATGTGTGTCTCACTTGGGATTTGTGATTGCATGATTGGGATTTCGAGCGTCCTGCCGTTTGGAAGGAAATGATTGGTTTGCGGCGGCCAGTGTGGGATGCGAGCTGGTCGTCCTCTTTGAAGTTCACCGGGTTCTGTGTGTGGGGGTCGGGCCACCGGACTGTCAGGCAAGGGTTGGTCTCGTCAGCTGACTAGTAGCATTCTCACCGGAGCGGTCCGAGCATGGCTCGATGATCTTGCCCAGGTGGGATGTGAAATCTCTTCAGGTGGGGCGGCTGCTTGGCGGCAGACGGTAGGGGGACCACTGCATATGGGGCAAGGAAGGAGCCTCAGAGGCGATTGAGAGCTTCTCGTAGCATGGCTTGGAAAAAACTGTTCCTTATCGGACCGATGGAAGTGAATGCCTGGACGGCTGGCTCCAATGGCCCTACCGAGATGTGCGGGGTGATTCCCGAGATTAACGGTGGGTACACGAGCGGCAAGTCGGGATGGGGTATTCTGGGTAAGGAGGAAAGGGCGAATGCCTTGCTGAGACCTGGGTACAGCGCTCGCGACGGTTGAGTTGTGCTTGAGGTATGGGATAAAACCCTACCGATAGTACTAGCGGAGAGATCATATTGGGATGGCCGGTGAGGAGATGACCGGCCCGTATGTGAGGTTGCCTGATTTTCTTTTATGTGTTCCCCCTCTGTAAAAATTGATTGAGATTGGACTGTTGGACGGGCGCTTTTCTAAGTCTATTCCCCCCCCCCATCTAAGTCCGCACGAGTGAGAGATGATCGGAAGGAAGAAGGATAGAGGTCAATTGGAATGGAACCAAGAGAAAGAATGTGGGCAAATGGATAGCTGACTGAGGGAATTATGAGAAGGAGGTACTTAGGAATGGGGAGGTAAAATAGGGAGACCTTGATGAGGGGTCTGAAATAATTCTCATCTAGGACAAGGTTTGACCTGATCAAAAGGATCGGTTGGTGCCTTTTTATGAAAACAGGGGTCGGGTGCTGAAAACAAGATGGCGCGATGGTGGCATTGCCCGATCTATACTAGCGGCCCGGAAATGCCAGTAGATGTAAAGGATGGGTTATCGGTCGTCCTCCCGGAAAATAGAACGTGGACGGACCTTGAACCAGCATATCAAACGGTAATGCTGGAAGGAGAGGATGCTTTCCTTTGGATAGAAACAATATGGACTAATGTCAGCTTGACGAGGTTGTCACCAAGTTTAATGGATTTGGAATTCCGAGGGACAGTGGAGGCCCGGGGGTGGGTCTACTTGTCGCAAGACGAGGAGAAAGCTATGATCATAGAGTTGGCACTTGGGAATACGCCGGACGAGTTGTTTAGGAAGGCAAAAGCGGAGGTTGTGTGGGTTGCATGTCAACGGAGGGAAATGGAAATGGAAAAGGTAGACGTACGGGTGGAACTCAGGGATAGAGGAAGCATGAGGCGACCCGTAAGAACCATGCGATGTGTGCTGCCCTCCTTCCTAGTGGATGCGGTTTTCGGAACCCGGAGCAGGCTTAGTGCGAATATGCCAGTCCATGACAAACCTCGGGCTATACCAATGCGCTAGGCAGGATTTTTTTTCGGTTATCAGTAGAGATGGGGCCGTTCGAGGGGAACTGGGCGGAGGAGCTGGCCGAGATACTAAACTGCCTTAGCATAGACAATATCTTTGTCCCTAGCGCTGTGCATTGGGGGATAGTCTATAGGAATGTGGCAATAGGGGAGGCGTTTCTAGATGGGGTAAGGGAGTTGGTATATGACGAGGAGGACGACTTCAGTGATGAAGACGAAGATGAAAAAATAGAGGACTGGGACTTCTGAGAGGGGTGGGGAAACTTAACTTAGGGAGGACGGGTGGCCTGGTATTGTGCAGGAAAGGGGAAGATGACTAGAGAAGAAAGGATGATGGAATACCCCTTCAAAGACTGGGAACCACGACGACTCAGAGGAGGAATAGAAATGCCTATACCAACAGGGAACGGATGGAGAGGGACCATGTGCGACTGGATTGGGTTTGAGGTTCCCCGGGACTTGTCATATGTATGGATAGAGCGGATTTGGAACTCGACAAGGGAAGAGGGAGGTTGGGATGATATAGCAGAAGGCAAGGTAGAGTCAGTTGGAACGATTGTCCTTTCCGAGGATGGATGGCACCTGTTTTGCACCATGTTAGCAATGGGACAGGACCCGATGTGGCTTCTAGGGGATGCAGAGACCCAAACCCGAAAGGAAGGCAAGTTGTTCGCTAACGAGGGATGGGACGAAGTTAGTAGCAGAGTTGTGATGGGAGGATGGAAGGAACTCAAACCTCCAAGTCTACGGATAACGGCTTGGGTACCGGAATTCATAGCTAAGTGGTTTGGGGGGTTTGAGCACATTTTAGAAGTAGCCGACTCCATGAGAAAGGTGCATATAGAGTGTGCCTGGCTGACCGAGGAGTTCTATAGGCTCTCATTGAAATATGGGCCCTTCTACAGAGATAAAGTCGAGGAAGTCATCATCGTCCTAAGGATAGGCAGATATGACCGCCTAGAGGGAGAGGCGAAGTCTTGGGACGCCATAGTTAGCCGGGAGGCGGCGACTGCACCCTCCTACGTAGACGACGTCTTTAAACTATTTGAGGTACTGTGGTCTGACTGAATGAGGCCAAGGGATCGAACACAGCGAAAGGGCCTGAGTATGGAGGGTGTTTGTGAAGTGGGGTGTAATATAAGAAAGGGAGTGTATACATTAGGCCGTAGATGGTGCATAAGGATCGAAACAAAGGGGAAGTGACAGCAACTTGAAAATGGGGGTCGTGTAGAATTGAACGTGTATGAGTTGGGGATAGCGGCATGAACCAGTGTACGATAAGTAGGGAGGGTTGAAAGACTAAAACACGAAAAGCATGGAATCTCGGTGGGTGCAGCGATCGGACTAAGAAAGCAGGAAAGGAGACATTGCGGGATGGCCCGGCGAATGACGTTCTAGACCTCGTGGGATCCTGCCACCAAGAATATCAGAGGGGAGGGTCGAAATAAGCCTGCCGGCAAGAAATACGGTAGGCAATCTGGTAAAGGACTGGGTGGGGGTAGAGTTGGTGGAAGATACGGTGTACCTAGTAGTGAAGCTGGAATGGCGGGCGAGAGGGGAGTTTGGGGGCGTAGACTTGAACCGCCCAGGGCATGTACACGCGACGGGATCCTTACACCTGTCGGAAGAGGGATGGCGGACCTTTGGGATTGCTTTGGCTTCCGGGGATGACCCCGTGCGAATGTTCGAAGGGGCATGGCAAATAACCTGGCGGGAGGGGTTTGAGTTTGCAGACCCGGAACGAGATGACGTAACGGCGGAGGTAAAAGTCGCCGCGGCAGGGGTTTTCGAGCTGCCAAATGAGGTCATACGGATGAGTCTACCACCCTTCCTGCTAAGACAAATGGGAGGCATAGAACGAGTGGAACAGGCGGTGACCGCCATAACTAGGCTAAATTTTGACGAAGCATTAATGTATCGAGAATACTATCGGGCCTTTCTAGAGATGGGGCCTTTCGGGGACGAACAAGGGCGCGAGGTGCTCTGCATTCTACGAGCTGCGGTAAATACTAGGCCAGGAGCCCCACAAATAAGCGATGAGACCATGTGGAGAATCATCCGGCGAGAGGTAGGTCGGGGCGCGACCTACATAGACGATCTCTACCGACTGTACGAACAGCAAGAGGAGGTTACTGCTCCCGGGGGTATAGAGGGATAGTTGGGACTAGAAAAGAGAAATGAAAACACGAAGGGCAAGGGAGACAGTAGGTGGGCGGATTCTGAAGATTGGTTGTAACCCTTTCTATGTGGACTATGCAGGAAATCACCCAGGTAACAATGGCAGCAAGACGTGAGCGAGTGGAACTCCAGCCCCGTGTGCGAATGGAACGCCTGCCCCGGTACCCCGGACCGCACTGGAACAACGGTGGACGATGGGAAGTGTCCCTCTCGTCGAGTTCTACCTATTGGGGGTTCGACGTAGAATGGCGGGCCGTGACTTTGGGAAGGGACGCCGCCTTCATGTTGGTAGAATGTCGGTGGACAGGAATGAGACTCAACCGAGGACCCGAAGATGATATGTTCTCCAATCTGGAGCTTACCGGGACCATGTATCTGCCTGAGATCGGCTGACATTCCTTGGGGGTAGAGATAGCACAAGGTCATGAGCTGGCACCGGTCTTTCAAAGGGCCGCCCGGACGTTGACCCAGATAGGACATTCGGTCAGGGGAAGAAGGAACGTGGGCTTGCTAACCCGGGTGGAGATGGGAGGTTGGAGGGAGTTCAGGGCACCAACCACACCGTTGAGGTGCCGGGTCCCCCGTTTTATGATAGATCTCGTCTTCGGGAGCCTCGCAAGGGCGCGGGAGCTGGCAGACTCGGCAATAATGTGGGCAGAC